AATGTTTTGAGAATGATGAGGGCAATGAATGTACAAATGTGCTTTACACAATTGATGTATGTATGGATTGTGATAAGAGTTGTATGAGCCCCTAAACAATTAAAAAAAAAACTGGGCACTGATTTGTCCCCAAAAGAAACATAATGGTAGATACCGTCAAAAAATAATAATAATAATAAAGCAAGATCAAAGTTAATGAAGGAAATTTTATGTAACAAATGGTAACTGGGGATGAGTCTTGAGTTTACCAATACAATCCAGAGAACAAAGGTCCAGTCAGAACAGTGGCTTCTAGTGGCATCTGCTGGATCAATGAAATTCAAGGCAGAGAAGTCAGTTTCGATAATTTTGGTAACTTTTTTGGGACTCCAAAATGAGTGATGTTGATAGATTTTCTCAAGGGACAGGAGACAATTACAGTGGTTTATTAGGAAGATGTTTTCAGAAAACTGAAAACTGCATTAGTGAGAAAAGGCCAGTAGTGTTGTGCCAAGAAGTTTTTTAAATCACAATGATGTACCTGCTCATTCTTGGAATGTAGCAAGGCCTGTCCTATGGGAATTTTGTTGAGAAACATTATCTCCTCTGCCATACAACCTTTTCTTGCCCCCTGCAGACTTCTTTCTGCTCCACTAACTCAAAGAACATTCAAATATCAAAATTTGAATCCCTCGGGATGCCAAAATTCGCATTTTGACATCGTATAAATTGAACACAGAATTCAGGGAAGGGTAAAAAGAGATGAAAACACTGCTTTCAGACGTATATAGATTGAGGACATGTTAAGAAACAAGCTTCACACTTTGTTATTTTTGCTTAATAAAGATTTTTATGATTTTGTAGTACGGTAATACTTTACAACTTGCTGTCATTATGTATAAAAAGGGTTTTTTAAAAAAATCTTTCTATAACTCACTTGAATTTGATTTTAGACCTCATACACCAAGTTGTGGGAATTTTTCAATCTCAGATTTTCCTGGGTGTGTTAGACAAGGTTCTCTAGAGAGATAAAACCAAATTGCTGATAATTTAATATATTTATTTACAAAGATAATTAGATATATAACAATAAATGAACTGTTACATCATATACAGATAAATATATAATACAAGAGATAAACAGTTAAATTATAAAGCACTACAAATGGCTCAATGCAACTCACTCCCGTGAGAGAGAGTTGTGAGAGACTAGCAGTCCTTCAAGTCTAGTCTGCTGCCAGATCTTCCTCTCTATATATAGAGAGAGCTAGGCTACCTCAGCACAGCAGCCAATCACAAGGCAGGTCACCAACTGCCAGTCCCCAGCTCCAGAGATGTCTTAAAGGGACCTCAACTTACAGCGACACAGTCCACAGGCTAGGTGTCCCACAGGTAGTGTAGCCTATACACTGAGGCACAGAACAAACAGGGAAGCCGCACACTGGTCCGATGATCAAAGAGCAAGAGACAAGAAAGGCGAGGCTCACCAAGCCATTTATCTCTCTGCCCTTCAGTTAATCCCACCTGTGTTTATTGGCCAGGCTGGCACAATAAACTATCTCACTGGGGTTCCCTCAGCCTGGAGCTGTGCCTAGGTTCTGAGGTTTTCCACAGTGTCCAGGCATGAGGGTTGAGGGTTGTTGCTGAGACATACTCATCCCTCGCTAAGAACCCTTCAGACCCACGGGTCTTTGCTGCTTCTGTGCCAGGCACCAGGCTCCAGAATCTTGGGTGGATACCCTGCCCCATCTTCTAGAAACAACACACAGCTGTATCTTTTTGGCTGCAGTGCTGCCCTGGTGGTGTTGCTAGGAAGCAGGATTCTGCTGTTCGTGGCATCTATGGGCTT